ACTTGGCAAATGACTGTCCCAAGAAGACAAGGTATCGAAGGTCCTAGAACTAAGAACGGATAAAATTAAAGGGAAACGGGGTTTGGCACCCCTCCCAAAGCCCAAGGTAATTCATGGACTACCCGAAGAACAGTGGACCTCGGCGTGGGCCGGGTACCCCACTCGTTCGAGGTTACATCCCACCAGCCAACTGCTTTTTGCCTTTGAATGGAAGGACCCTGACACGTGCAGAACTAGGCAGCTCATCTGGAGCTGACTGTCCCAAGGGTTTAAAATTCCCCAACGATGGCCAGACAAGTAGGAGAATTTCGGGGGACATCTGGGTTTTGCAGGCTGACTAAGGAAAAAATTCTCCTGGACCCCAGAGCACCAGGAGGCATTTGATGCCATTAAAAAGGCCCAGCTGAAAGCATTGGCTCTAAGCCTTTTGATATAACTAACCTTTTACCCTTTATGTGGATGAGCATAAGGGGGTCGCCTGGGGAGTTTTAACCAAATCCCTAGGGCCGTGGGACAGACCAGTTGCTTATCTGTCAAAGAAGCTTGATCCTGTAGCAAGGGGAGGGCCTGTCTATCAAAAAGATATCACTGCTGACAAGTTGACTTTGGGGCATAAAGCAACAATAATAGCCCCCCATGCATTGGAGAGCATTGTCTGGCAGCCACCAACTGATGATGACCAACGCCCGCGGGACCCACCACCAAAGCCTGCTTCTCACTGAGAGACTGAGCTGATTGTGTTCGCTCCACCAGCCAGCCTCATCCCACCACTCTTCTGCCTGTGGAGACTGGTGAACCAGGGACTCATGACTGCCATCAACTGTTGGTTAAAGAGACTGGAGTTTGCAAAGATCTTAACGACATCCTGCTGGCTGGGGAGATGATGACCAGTTCACTGCCAGGATCAGTTACATTATAAAAGGTAAAGAAAGGACTGGGGCGGTGGTACTGCTCGACGAAGAGAAGTCCATAAACATTAACAGGCAACAGGTATGCTTTTTCAACTGTTCATGTGCATGGGACTGTCTCAACCATGTGGTTAAAAAAAAATTACTGAAGAAAATTTTCTGAAGATTCAAAATACCTAAGGTAGTAAAATCAGACAATGGTCCAGGTTTTGTGACCCAGGTAAGTAAATCACTGGCCAAGATACTGGGGATTGATTAAAATTACATTGTGCATACAAAACCAACAATTCATGTAGAAAGTATAAATAAAACCATTGAGGAGACCTTCACTAAATTGACTGTGGAGACTGGCGTTAATGATCAGATAGCTCTCCTACCCTTTGTGCTTTTCAGGTTTAAAAACACCCCTGGACCGTTTGGGCTGAGCCCCTGTAAATGGCTCTTTGGTGGGCTCCCTCCACTGGTGGAAATTACCTCTGTACATAGTGCTGATGTGCTGTTTTCTTAAGCCTCTGTTTGCTAGGCTTAAGGTGCTCCAGTGGGTGAGACAGTGAGCAAGAAAGCAGCCCTGAGAGACCTACGTGGTGGGAGTCGTGGAAGTTTCACATTACTTCCAAGTTGGAGATCGAGATTTCATTAGATGTCACTGCACAGAAACCTTAAGATTCGGAGGGAGGGAGGGAAGGAGGAAGGAAGGGAGAGGGAACTGGGATCGACATGTATAATAATAAATTACAAAAAAAAAATATGCTTTGACTCAAAACATTAAGTTCAAGGACAAGTTACTGGGGAAAAGGATATCTATTTTATTTTTTTTTCCACAGAAAACGAAAAGCTGTGGATTTCTTCCATACTAATGTGGTTTGATCAAGCCAGACCACCTGAAACAGAGTACCAAGTGAGCCTACATTCAAAACAGCTGGAAAAAGCAGCCTTGCAGAATACAGCCAGGATTTCAGCATCTTCTTAGAATCCCCCATGAGAGCGCCCCTTACCAGCAGGAAGTGGTTTGGAAAGAACGACGCCCAAATTCCCAAATATTGTCTATAGATGTTTGTTTTCATTTAAATGGACTTGGTTATAAAAAATAAATAATAAAAAAGACAGAAAAATACTGTTAAAAGTTTATGACTATCCTCTAAACTTAGTAAAGCAATGCAAGAGTTCTTATCAATGCTTTTAACAGTTTACTGCTAAGAGACAATGACTTTTCTCTAACTCAGTAAACCAAATCTCTGGTACACTGACCACAGGCAGGTGAAAATAAGTGTTTTTTTTTTTTTTTTTTTTTTTTTTTTTTATCTCATGCTTCAAAGGAATTACTGGCATTTTATAATATGTCTGTAAATTGTGACCAAAGATATGTTCCTTGTAATTTCTGTATAAAAACCCAATACTCTAAAGTAAAAATGGCAGCAGTTGCAAAACACCTCCAGTGTGTTTGTTTCTGTCAAGACGAAGCCACTCCTGACATGGTCATCGAGTTTTGGTACCCATGGGGGCACATCACCCACTCTGTAGCATGAGGTGTTATTGGCCTGGTTGTACAGGAACTTCCAACTGTAAGGAAATAAAAGCAGGAAGCAGATCAAAAAGTTGATAATTTGTCTTTCTCTCATCAGAAAGCTTGATCATTGCTCTATAACTGTAGGAGTTTTATTCCTGAACCTCAGAAAAACCACTTAACAAACACAAAATTATAAAAAGAGTATTCTTCATGGAAAGTTGAAAATTTAGAGAGGAATGGAGCTAGGAAGATTTTTGTGTATGACCACTACTGTTGGCCAGCACATCTTACTCAGTGAGCAGTTTTAAACAATCTGCATTATTCAAGAATTCAAGCTTTGTAAGACCCTCAGAATGAGGAGTCTCCCATTTTCCATCTGTATCCCCAAGAACTCAATGTCCAGTCCAGTTGCTGCAACATGCAAGAGGCTTTAATGAACAGGAAACATTTGTGCATAGGGGCCCCTCCAGCATGCAGACTAGTGAGAAGAAGCCATCTCCTCCCTCCACCCCTCCCCCCGGCACAGGTGTTTTTAAAGGCAAATACCCCATGCTTAGGGAGGGGGTGGGACCCTCTGTCCATTGAGTACATGACCCTTTTAGCTGGTCTCCCTATTAGGGTCAACAGACCTTAGGGCCTCAGGGTGTGCTAATTAATCTTGTCTGGGCAAACCGGAGGTGCAGTTATCTATTTGTTTCTTAAAGACCCTATTCAACACCTGCTGACTCACAAGAAAGGACGGACAGTCTGAATTCTGGGTATCTTGTTTTCTCAGGGCCTTGTGAGGGTAAGTTAGCAGATTCCAAGGAACAGATATTGCTAGGGGTTAACTTTCCAGTTTAGTCTGTCCTTCATTTAAAATGGGGCATTTCTCTAACTTTACTTTTTTGTCTTTCACGCCCTATATCTTATCTCTAGAGAGTAAAGTTCTAGTACTCTGATCTACAAAGCACCCCACCCAGAACCCGCACTTTCCCCACCCTGTGTCCTACTGCGCCCACTGCTCCACTGGTCTGGTTGAGCACTGGGACAGAGAGCGGGTCAAAAAAAACACCTCCACCTCCTGAAAATTTCTTGGACCTGCTTTGAAAATACTGGACCCATCTATCCCGCTGGAGCATCCAGAGTGCCCGCCTGCCTGATGTTTATCCGTCATTACTGAGGCTCTGCCGGGGGAGAGACCTCCTAGAGTGACTGGAACAGAGTTACAGACATTGAGCACCTCTCACAACTCTGTCCCCAGGAACTCCTTCTCAAACACACGGTTCCGGGACTGTCCCCTGCACCGCTCACAAGCGGCTGCGATCTCAGGACTTCCGCCTTCCGGTCACGAACTAAAGCTTCTGGTTCGTGGCTGTCAGTGTCCCCGGAAGACACAAAAGGAAAACAAGCTTCTAGTTCCACCCGGCCAAACTGACACACAATTTCCGCTTGTGAACCAAGGACGTCAGGCTTCCAGTCACTGACTTGAGCTTCCGGCCTGTCACACAAAATGGTCCCCAGGAAAGGTTGCAACGAAGAGATGCACAACTTGAGTTCCACCCATGAAGTAAACACGACGGAGTGCGCTGCAGCCTGAGTTCCGCTTCCGGCACATTACTTCCGCTTACGGATGGTGCAGCGTGCGATTCCCTGCCCACCGGGCGATGATTAAATTGGATCCGCTTTAGGCCCAGGATGGAAATTGATCGCATCGGACATTGCGGGCCCGATAGGAAACGCCTTAAGGGACTGGACTTCCAGGTCCAAGTGAACAGGTCAGAAACGGCACAAGAGGCAGCAGAGAGCATATTCCCTGTCACTCATCGAGGCGGTAGGTGGGACTTCCGGGTGCGGCGAACAGGGCAGAAACAGAGATCACAACCCTAGGTCCATGCACCCCTCTGGTTTTCGCTGTTTCCCTGTTTATGCCACGGTTGGCAGCAGGGTTCCTGTTGCCGGGGAAACCGGGGTGGGACTTCCGGCAACATGGTAAAGCAGGGCGGGACTTCTGCGTGGGAGCATTGACCAGGAATTAATCACTTAGAGAGGTTCCCAGGGGATGGGCGGGGTCACGGGAGCGGTGATGTCAGAGGAGTTACAGGCGTGAACTATAGGGGACACAGCTGTCAATCAAATACCCGTCATTCATTCATTCAGTCATTCATTCACTCATTCATTCAGTCATTCATTCACTCATTCATTCAGTCATTCACTCAACCACTCAGTTCGAGGTCCTACCCTCCCACTTCCAGGAGTCCCTGGAGAAGGCGGGGTTTCCGGCTCCGCCCGAATATGCCCAGGAGACAGCGAAGCTGAAGGTGCTGGAGGTGGCATCGTGGCTGCACAGGGTGAGGACGACCCCATCCCTTCTGGTCAGGTGGTAGGCCACACGCCTTCCTTTTGAGGCCCCGCCCATAAGCCTGCCCCGCCCTCTGCCCTTTAGGACCTGCACCCGCCTGATGTCATTATTGGAGCCTATACCGTCCTGGTGAGTGAGGCCCTGCCCCTCACTGACCCGGCCCCTTGGCGTCTGGCCCCGCCCAATGTAGGCCATGGATGGCTTCATCCTGGAGAAGCCAAAGGACAAGGACGATGCCTACAGGATGCTGCGCAGGTGGGCGGGGCCTTAAGGGGCGGGGGTAGGCCCCCCAGGGCATAGTGGGCGGGGCCTCTTCATGGAGCTCCAGCCTCTGCCCACCCCAGCCCTGCCCCTTGCCAACCACGCCCTGTCCCGCCTTCCCTGGCCCCGCCCAGGCTGAGTGGCCAGCAGCACAGTGTCATCACCGGTGTGGCCATCTTGAGGCCACTGTGGCAGAGGCAGCTTCAGGAGCCGAGTTCCACATGCCCAGAGGCCCCAGAGGCGGAAGGGGACCCAGAAGCAGAAGTGGAATTGTCACTGTTCCACGAAGAGACCCGTGTGACATTCTCGCGGCTATCAGAGCCACTGCTCTGCCAATACGTGGAGAGCAGGGAGCCTCTGTGAGTGGGTGCGGGGTGGGGTGGGTGGGGCCAGGAAACCTGGAAGTGAGGCCTGAAAAGGAAGAGTTGTCCCCGGCGGGCGTGGGTGTGGCTGAGCATGGCACCTGGTGTGACTTCGTCCCTGCCTTGCACCCAGGGACAAGGCTGGCGCCTATGGGCTTCAGGCGCGAGGCGGTGCCCTAGCAGAGCGCGTGGAAGGGGATTTCTTCAATACCGTGGGGTTTCCACTCAACCGCTGCATGCGTGAGCTGGCTGCCATCTTCCCGGATGTGGGACCACATGTCCCTGTCAGCCAGCATCCGGCCACACCCAAATAATGAGGATTGTAGATGGAGAATGAGTATGTGAGTGACTGTCCGGGCGGGTATTCTGGTGAGAGAGTTACTGAAGGGGCGGGACTTCTGGTGAGTTTGTGAAGCAGTGACCCATTTCCCATGATGCCCTTGGTGCATTGTGTTTGATTGACAGAGCAAGCTTCCCTCAAGTGCATCACTTCCCAGTGCTAGGACACAGGACATGGGGTGAGGTGTGTGGAGGCAGGGTTAGGGGACAGGCCCACCGAGGGGAGTACACCTAAACCCGCCCCTGTGGCCCTGCCCCTCCTGATGCCCTGCCCTCACCATCTCCATGGGCCCTGCCCTTGCCCCCACTGGGTCCTGCATGAGCAGCTTCACCATCAGATGCCTGTGATGGACATTTGACATCAGGAGCAGGGTCAGGGGAGGCCCCACCCCCTGCCCGCACTCTGATTTGCATATTCAAGAGCTGCCTGGAGACTCAGAAGACATCAAGTACAGAAACTGCTGGGGTTAATTTGCATGGCCACACCTCCAAATGACCTAACCTGCATGTATTTGCAGGTCAAAGTCCCAAACAGATGGGAATACTTGCATTCATTTGCATAGCAAAAGCATGCAAAGCAGCACAAATTTGCATATTAAAGTGTATTTCCGAAACTGGGGTTTGCTCATTTACATACTCAAATGTGAAGCCCCAATCAGACTTCCAGATTTCCAGGCACTGTGCTTATTTGCATAATCAAAATTACTAGTGCATCCTTTACATAACAGTTTAGTAGCCTCATTTGCATATTTAAATGGTGGCAGGTTTTTACTGCTCAGCATCAGGCCCCACCCCTTCAGCACTACCCTAGCTCACCTGTCCCCTACCCCGAGGTCACAGTGTCCAAGGTCACAATCAGTGACCCTCTCCAGGCCCTGCCCTCAACCACACCAGGCCCTTCCCCACTTTCTCTCCTAGGGTCCCCGAGGGCAGGGCCGGGGTCTGGGTATTACCTATGGTGCAGACAGGACTTGGTCCTGGCAGTGACATCACAGGAAATTGTGACTGTGAGCAGGAACTGCCCTCCTTCCCTACCCTCACCATCTCCACCCCAGCTGGGCATGGCAGGAGTCTCCTACCAAACTCTTAGGTTACCAAGCAGCAATGCTAGGACCCAGAGGGCGGTGGCCATGGTGAGCTGGTTATGAGAGTAAAAACCCTGAGGATGATGAGTGTGGCTCCTGTGACATCACAGAGCTCACCCCTCCAGGCCCTTGTAATGTCAGTCACCGCATACCCTGCCCCTCCAGCTGTCAATCACTACAGACCCCACTTCCTGCCTCTGGGCCATGAGGTCTGATGAGGGTGTGATCTACAGGCTGACTGGGCGGGGACATGTCAGCTATCTTTATAAAGGTAGAGGGGCAGGCTGCAAGCCGAGGGCTGGATTTCCTGGCAAGGGAAACCTGGCAGTAGAGACTCAGGTCAATCATCAAGGGTGGGGCATGACTTCTGCTCGCAGATCCGCAGCCAAGGCTGACTTGAGCCAAGGCCATCAGGAACTTTTGTAACTGCTGTGGATGGGACTGCATTTCCCAGCATCCTATGCGGCCACTTACTGCTTCGCTGCCCAGAGACTTCTGGGTTTGGATGTTCATGTCCAGGACTGCATTTCCTAGCATCCTGTGCGGTCGATTCCTGCCTTTATGCCCAGGGATTTCCGGTTTTTATCTGTACTGGCCAGGGACTGTAGTTCCCAACATGCTCTGCGGTGGCTTTCTGTTTTTCAGCAATGAAACTTCCAGTTTGTAGTTTTTGGAGGCCCAGGACTCCATTTCCCAGCATTCTCTGTGGCCACTTCCTGCTTCCCTGCCCAGGGACTTCTTATTTTCATCTTTGGCAGCCAAGGACTATATTTCCCAGCATGATTTGTGTCCGCTTTTCTATGAATGGACTTCCGGTTAAAAACTTTGGGGTCCAGAACTGCACTTCCCAGCATGCTGTGTGGCTGCTTCTTTCTTTTCTCCCCTGGACTTCAAGGCCCCTAACTACAGTTCCCGGCATGTGCTGGGCTTGTTTCGATCTTTTCAGTTCCTAAACTTCTTCTGGTCTCTGAGGCTCCAGGACTCCATTTCCCAGCTTCCTGTGGTGCTGCGTCCTGTTTTTCAGTCCTGAAATTCCACCATTTAAAGGCACATAATAATTTAGAAATATTTGAGACTTAGAACAGTTGAATTTAAGTTGTATGAAGTTAGCTTACATTTACATAAAGTTAAGTTGAAATCGAATGTACAGATATATTATTCAGGACTGGGTAAATTGAGAAGGACAAGAGTGTGAAGCTATGTATAACATAGTCAGAGAAAAAAGATATTACAAAGAATAAAAGGCAAACGGTAAATGACTTACAGGTTCTGTTGGTGGCAGAAGCTGGCTAGACTCTTTCTGCCTAGATGGCTGATGTAGCAGAAAGAAGAACCATGGTGGGTAAAGCTAGGCCACATGGTCAAGATGGTGGCTGCCATAAACATATTCCCAACAGCTGAAAGAAATCGTAAAGTTTTGAGATGTAATTTTGTCTTGAGCAGATGCTGCCTCAGCCCAGCCCACCATGCTGAGACAGGTTGCAGCTGGGGCAGGCAGGAGAATTTGAGCGTGCCAGGAAGAGAACCGAAACAAGTTTAGGGAAAGAGATTGTTTAGCAGAGATATTAAAAAAAAACGCCTTCCATCTATCTGTTCCCTGGCAGTAATTTGAAAGATCCCATAAAATATCGGGATCTAGAGAGCCGTTATGTGGCCAATTTGAATTATTTTCTAGGGGATATCTAGGCTACTTTTCAGTACAAAGGTAAATAAGTCTGGGTGACTTTACAAGTGGCATTAAGTGAAAGGGTTTTAAATTTTCTATCAGGCATCCCAGTGGAGTGGTGGGGGATATTTCCTTGGTCGGTTTATTCCCCATGGGTGGAGTGAAAGTGACCATGCAGTCTTAGAACTCATCAGCCCAAGAGTGTGGCCACATGATTCGAGAGAATGGCAGAGTGTTATTCGAAGCTCCTTAGCCCGAAAACGTTGCCAGGACCAACAGAGGCCAGAAATACTCAGCAGTCTGAGAGCAGAGCCGATATACCACACTGGGCAGTATGTCTTCCACCCATGGAATGTACCTGACCTTAAGGAATTGGGTTAAAATGTAAAAGGGTACCTTACCTAATTGAAGCCTGTGTGGGATGGTATTTCCAGTGAACGGGGGGGGGGGGGGGATGGTGGTGGAACGCTGGTATCTGAAACAAGATCCTGAGTGTTTCTGGCTGGCCACCCACCAGCAGACAGCTGTCAGTGACCCTCATGTAGAGCCTGCCTGGGTTTCGGTACCAATGTTGTTCTTTTGTTGTACAGCTAATGCCTAAGAAACACAAACGCGAGACTCAGCGCCCACGTGGAGATTGTTGAGAGAAGGGAGAGAAAGAGGGGGTAGCTGGTGGCCAACTGAAAGCACGAGAGAAAGAGGGGGGTGTGGGGCACTTGCTTTAAAAGGGGAGGCTTGCACATGTGTAACTGAGTCCTCTGGCTGCCAGGTAAACCTTGAGCCGTCAGATAAAGCTGATGTAGCAATGACATGGCCATGAGGGTCCCGCCCATCTTCAGGGTGGGGGGGTCAAATGGCTGCTAGTTCCTAACAATCAGATTACTAAGTGGAGTCACTATTTAGCTACACATGTAGTTAAGTGTAAGCCACTAGTTAGAGACAAAGTAACCCACTAGTTAGCCACACATACTATCTCACTAGTACCCACACACACCATGCCACTTGTTAGCCACATACTTAACTCACTATTTAGCGACACATATGAAGTCACTAGTTAGACAAACACCTAAATCAATAGTCAGCCCCACACCTATGTCACTAGTTAGCCACAAAAACTAAGCCACAAGTCCATCACACAAATAAAGCAGTACTTAGCCCCACACACTAAGACAGTAGTTAATCATACACCTAAGTTAATATTTAGCTACATCCCTAAGCAGTAATTAACCACATTGACTAAGTCACTCGTTAGCCACAAAGCTAGGTTACTAGTTAGCCACAGTCTCTATGTCTCTAGTTAGTTACACACAATATATCACTACTTACCCACCCATACTAAGTCAGTAGTCAGCCACACATCTAATTTACTAGCTAGTCACAATCACCAAGAAAATAGTCAGCCACACACACACTGAGATAGTAGTTAGCCATGCACCTATGTATTTCTATGTATTTAGTCAACTACGCACCTAAGTTACTAGTTAGCTACCAACACTAGGTCACTAGTTATCCACACACATTAAATCAGTAGTTAGACACACACACTATGTCACTAGTTAAACACATACTAAGTCTGTCTAAAAGAAAAACAGCTCACACTAAGGTGGTCCCAGGACATGGGAATCAGGCCTTTATTCCCAGCAGCAGGGATTTGGAGATAGGAGTGACATGGCTGGACAGAGAGAGGAAGATAAGGTAGAGGAGCGAGTAGAGCATGCTGTGAGATGATTTTGTTTGAGAAGTTAGTCTGAGGGATTGGAAGCGATAGCAGTCAATCTGAGTAGGCAGTGTGAGGACAGGAACACATCGCTTGTCTGAGAATAGGTAGAGATAACAACTCTAGTAGCCAGATACTCTGAATCTGTGATCCTTCAATTTTCACCTTCCCCTCCCTGTCAGATTACTGTGAGTTTTTATTATTAAGATCTATTAGAACTTGTGCTGGAAGTGATGTTCTCTCTGTGGAGGTGTGATATTTCAAAGTCAATAGAGGTAAAAATTTTCAATTATTAAAATATTAACTTTATTTTTTTGAAAATTACATTGGTATCTTTTTAATGTTTTTAATTTGTAATTTTTTTTATTATACTTATCAAACCAGTTCCCTCCAACTTACTCCCACCCTCCTTCCCGTCCCAACTTCCCAGGCCCCCAGCCACTCTCTCCTCCCATCCAACCAACACTATACACGTAGGTGGATGCCTTCCAGGAGGGGTCATCTAAATCCTTCAAGTCATTTTAAGTAGACACTAAAATGTCTCTCCTGTCTCAGGGTTAATGGAGTATCCCTCCATAGGGATTTTCCCCCAATGTCCTTTTTGCAACAGGGATACTTCCTGGTCCCTCTCTCTGAAGACCCTTAGACTGCACAGGCCTTTTAGCTGACACCCATGTTCAGGGGTCTGTGTCAGTCCCATGTTTGATTCCCAGCTATAAGTCTGGAGCCCCATTAGCTCCTCCTTGTTCAAATCAGCTGTGTCTTTGGGTTTCTGCAATGTGGTCTTGTCCTCCCT